CCCCCCCCCCCCCCCCCCCCCCCCCCCTCCCTTTGGCTCCGCCACTGACTAGGAATCAACACTGAAGAATTGAATCCCATGTCCCGATGTTTTGAAAATAAATCGTTTTTTCTGTCTGTTTCAGAATTAAATCATTAAGCACTACGTCTAATATGTTAATATTAAACCTCTGTGTAGGATGTTTGATCATGTGTATTGTGGACTTTCCTCTCTATGCTACCTCCTCCTTCCTTCAAAAATGGATATTCGGACATAAAAGTAAGTACAATTCGCATTTAATCAAATCTTCACAATCTTTAGATATTACGAACTTTGTCTTTAACCTTGACTACAATTGCAACCATTCTTGTGAGCCGGAAGTTGAAATGCAGTAATTTTATTGGATTGTACGTTAGCCAATCAACCAATCATGCCCCGATAATGCTTATAGACTTTCTGTCGGGGGTTCTGGTGGCTGTATTCTCTAGCATACCTTCCATCCAAATCGCAGAATTCCGTGATACAAGAACAGTGAAGACTAGTATAATACATAGTTCGTAATTTCTTGACATTGTGAAGATGATCGACAGGATATACATGTTTCTACTGAATGGACATATATGAAACAATGTTTCATAACATTTCGGTTCAGATCGAGAATGGCTTTCTAATCAATATGATCCCATTTTTTAAAAATTGTCTAACTTTTGACTTTTCCATATCAACTTCTTGCATCTATAATATTAAAAGAGACTAAAAGCATAGACATATTTTGATATCTTTTAAAATTCTTTATCACGTTATATTTCCGTTTATGAGACTCTTCCAAATCACCCTTTTTCATCCTTCAAAGAGACTCACAAAGCATAAAACATATATTTTGAATCATAATCAATCGTGTTATATTTTCAGTTTGTGAGATATATGCTACTATTACCGGAACAGCAGGACTACTTATAATGAACAGTTATTCCGCCATTGCCTTCGATAGATTTATAACGGTAACAAGATACAATAATCCAAACTATCCACGGTCTAAAAGTGCTACCATGTGTATTTCCGGATTCGTGTGGATCTACTCGTTATCTTGGTCGATGGCTCCAGTGGTAGGATGGAGTCGATATCAGCTAGATGGCTCGGGAACTACTTGTACGTTCGATTATCTTTCCACAACGTGGACAAACCGCTCCTTCATACTGAGCATCGCCTTCTTCAATTTTGTGCTACCACTGTGTTTTATTCTATTTGCCTATTCACGAATATTGCATCTTATATCATCACACTCTCGTGAAATGAAGTCGTATCGTTCTGCAGTGATTATCAGTAAAGGTAAAGCTTCCATTCCAAAACGATTTCGTAGTGAACGAAAGACAGCTATAACGCTACTAATTACAGTCGTTGTATTTTGTTTATCTTGGGTACCGTACGTCATTATAGCGTTAATTGGTCAGTTTGGAAACCAGTCGTTTATAACGCCACAGATATCAGTTATTCCCCAGCTAGTGGCAAAATTATCTACAGTTACAAACCCTATTTTATATTCCTTAAGTCATCCTGTCGTCAGAAATAAATTATTCTTACGTCTCCGTCATGAACTCTATAGGCGACCAAGTGACTCGGTTAGCTCCAGTCGAGGAATTCAGATGAAAAATATAGAATTCATCTAAGAATGATCTAAACGGCCTTCCAAATGAGAATTGCCTTAAGTGATCTCAATGAATCAAAAGTTATTTTCATATTTAACTGATAAATAATTTAAGTATCGATTATTTTGTGGTGTAAATGTTCATTTATTATTTATTTATCTAGAACTTTTTAATGGAATTTTCTAAATTATATTTCTTGAGAAAAACAACTTGATCTTTCTGATAAATACAGTAATTTACCCATTGTGACACGCGAAAATTAAATACAGTAAAATTCTCATTAAGCGACTTTGCATGCAGGTTTCAAGGAAATTAATCTTATTGAAGCGTTTTTATAGTTTAACAGAATTATTCATTCTATATTTCAATTTTTCCTTGTCCGGATTATTGAGCAGTGTCATAAAAATCGACTTCACCATACCAGTATATATTTTTAAGGTTATCGGCCAGAGTAAAAAACTTTCGATATTACCGATTCCCGTAGGGTGAAAGTGGATTATCTAACATCACACCCCCCAAAATCGCATCTTCACAATGTCAATCTATTAGTGATTTGACTGAATATAATTTAAACTAATGATGATCAACTATCATGCTCATAAGAGATATTTATTTTTACATAACGTACATATAGAACAGTATTTTGTAATGGTATGTGAAAACGAATCTAACAACGATAATTATTATGATACGAATATTGGTGATTATATTGTTATTTTTGTACCTTTTACCTCATCACTTATTGCATTATAAACTCACTAATGATTGATATACCTCCTCATGTGAAATGTTTATTTGCTGCTACGAATGTTTCGTCAAAATGTTGTTTTAGATTTCGAGTTTGGTTTTGCGGTTCGGATCGTTAGTACTTGGTTTATTTATTTGTTTTCCATCATTCAGAGAAAGTATTAAGACAAACTTTCTGTGTTTATGAAGCTAGCACACCTTAAAGACAGACATTGTCAAATGTAAGAATCACGTTAATGTGAAAAAGAAAAGTAAAAAACTATGGGCCATATGCACGCAGCGCTCGACTTAAGTCGAACTTTAGGTATGCACCGGTCGATCTTTACGAAAGTCATGCTTAAATTTGACTATCAAATGTAGAAAATGAAAGCCTTAATCCTATCTTTGTAAAGTTCAACTTTAACCAAAGTTCAACTCTAGTCAAGGTAAGAGCGCTGCATACGGCCCTTAATCTAGAATCTAGAGATGTTCACTATATAACTCATTTTAGAAGATGTAATTATTTTCATTCAATCAATGGCTTTATTGATTTGGTTGTTATTGTGATCAGGTCTTTTTCATTGGCGCTTCTACGGGGTGGGGTGGCTGGCCCGGGTTCCCCCCACGCACTTTCAACATTTTTATCAATTTATGATAAAAGATAAATTTTGGAAACGCCATTGTTTTTTGTGTGTGTCAAATACGGGTTTTTGAAATGCTAAATTAGTTTTGTCGATAAATCATGGGCAAACTTGACAGAAAGGATATTTGTTATTGTTCATTTTGTTGGTTGGTTCAAAAAAAAAATTTTCGTATGACATTCCAGTAATATTAGTTAAGAAGTCTGAAAGCACATTCTGGTTTTGTGTTGGTTGATGTATATAACCAGATTCAATATGACTGCTCGTGATATTCCCAGACGTGTTATTAAAAAGATATAGAATTATGTATATATAGTACAATATGATATACATTTCACTGGATTTTGATAATGGATGTCGGCAAATAAATAAAGGTCGAGACAGATATGAGCTGTTATTTCGGTTAAATGATCTTAAATACAAATGAACTGATTTCTGAAATTAAATCTATTTGTGGAGGACTTCTAATCGTCTTTTGAAATGAAATTGAGTTTAACGACTGCCTTTTTCTGCACTTGTTTGGGCTAATAAGGCCGTGTGCAATGAGAGAAGTTTTGCCAAGAACAATGGTATTGCCTATTCTTTTCTATCTGTCGAGAGACCTTTAACGTTCAAACACACACGTTGCCTCGGTTTATTGTCCGAACGATTTGATAACTTTTTATTGCAGCCTACATCAGAAAAACGTGCTTTTCAGTTCGCGAATATCAAGTCTAAATGACCTGGCGGGATGGCGGAATCGGACACCGGGGGAAACTTAATAGAAAAAGGTATTATCTCGACTCATGTGGGGATTTAAGCCCAGACCCCCGTTAATATTTATCTTTTGAAATCAACTGTTTTATTTTGAATAAGAAAAATACTTTTCTGTATTCTCAAATTCTATGAAATTATATTTATTGTTTAATAAATACGTTTTAATTTTTTAGTCATATTTATAACTGGGTACGGGATAGAGTTACGACAGTCGTAATTTATAATGAATCTTTTATAGCTAGGCATAATGCCGTAACAATAGACATTTTCTTTCTTATTTGCATCTAGAGTCGAACATGTACAATGATCACTTGTATTCAGTACCACCTTCAATGAACTGGCACCAAAAATTTACAGTTTTTAACCAAATTTACCCCTATTAATCACCACCCTCTTGATGCAGCCAGTGCGTTCAATTTTCTTGACCGTGAACAAATCACCCTCCAATAGGCAGTCAATTTTCAACCACTGACTCTGATTGAAAATTTGAATGTTGCTATCATTGTCCTGTATACACATATTTTTTTTTAGAAAACATCTTTACAATCTAACCTTTGAGTTTAACATCTGAAAAAAAAGAAAATGACGGGCGTCGGTATTAGGCCAGGGCATGCTTTGTCCAGAACACCTGGAACTTATCTGCAACAAAGTTTTTCAACTGGGCATTCCTTTCGTAGAGTTCTCATAGCTACACTTCATTTACAAAGTAAGATTTGAGATAACATGAACTGGTAATTCATTCCATGCAGTGTTCAATCAGGCAAAATTTTCTCTTTCTTACTTTCTTTATATTAGTTAGTGCCGGCAATAATGATAAACTTTTATTTTACGTGGGTCAGAATTAGTCCAAAATATTTACGCAATATTTCGATAGACTAAATTTGTACATATGAATGAGATTGACAGATTTGGTTTATCGTCCAATGTGAACGACTAGACGACTTATCCATGCTATAATTCCAGATCTGTAACACTGATGGGCTGGGAATAAATTCGAATTAGAATACATCTATACTGATATGCATCTCCTACGTCAAGGTATGAGACGCAGTTCGTTATAATTTGACATTGTGGTGATGGGTGTAAGCTAGAAGCTGCTATCTGGTATATTCTATTGTTAATAAGACCATGTCAAAACCCGTCTTCGTGATACGATGGCCAATAGATGTGTGTATCAATTGGGTCAATATTCTGGAGAAAGTTCTTTCTACGCCGATTTCTTAGCTAGATCGAAGCATTTAACATCTAAGCTACTACTACAAGGGTATTTACCTAATCGACTCAAATCCTCAAAATTGCCACAAGAGTTCTCTGGGCCTCTAAAATTCTTCAAATTTTCTGAGTACAAAATCTGCAAAACTCATTCCCGGCGACTGGGCTGGTTGGTGCGTTCCTATTTGTAGTGTGTGTTGAGCAGCTATGACGGGTGTGGCGCTAGGCAGGGTAGCTTGCTCATCTAGACACCTGGTACCAGTTTTCAAATATACGAAATACACGGCTTGTAAACAGAGCCGTATATATACGGCTCTGCTTGTAAATAGATAATTTAACTGTTGTTTGTACCCTCGAAAAATAAGTTATCTCCCCTTAACAACTATGAGTTTTTTTGCTGGTAAAAGATCTTTTATAAAATAAAGTCCCATTATATTCCAAATAATATTCCGAGATATTGTCGTCTAACCAAAGAATGCACGAATGAAATGTTTCTGAAATGCATTGAAGTCCAAAGTAAGCATTTATAACACAAAACTTCAAACTTTGAAAGAGAGCTGTAAAGAATTTGCCTCAAATATTGTGATGACGTGTTGTTGTTTTTGTCGACTGGAAAATGAAGTCTATATTTGGCGCGCTTTTTCTCGTCGCCTGCTCAATTCACAAATTTTCGATTCGATGATTCGGTGGTTTTCGATACAACTGATTACTAATAATCAACAGATCTAAACCTAAATCGGTAAGTGCTTTTTATAAAGGAAAGTAAAGAAAGATGGTTCCATACTTAGATCTTTACCTATATCTCCAACTTGTGCTCTTTTTTTGACTGAGCTAGCTAGCCTAATCTAGAGTGGCTAGAATCAAACCCGGCCTCGGACGTGAGACTTTATTAAGACTGGGTCTGCTGACCTTTGGGCCCTAGAAGAAGAAGCCAACTGATTGAGATGCATTTTGAGTAGACTCTATTAATGTTCACTTCAAAAATGACCTTTAACAGACCTGCCCCAAGCACATCCTGCTCCATCTAAACGTACCCCACCCCAATTGCCCCCACCCAGTCTCGGCGCCGCCAGTGCCTCACTGGTATACATAATTGAACTTAATACTTACTAGCATACAAACGTACATGGTCATGAGCCCTCTGTCCTTATTTATGGGCATTGTAAAGATGTTTTCTGAAAAAAAATTATGTGTATGGGGACAATGTTGGCATCAATTTGCGCCAGACCGATTTTCAATCAGACGGCCGTAGGCTAACGTCGGCAGTGCCCGAAATGGGGGCCAGTAAATTTGGGCAGGTAAAAATTCAGGTCTACTAGCTCAAATATAGTTCAAGCCCATATATTGTAGATGAATTTATATGAACGTTTCAGCACTATTTCCAATGAAAAAATTAGAAAACCACATCACAAATGTTCTCTGAATTTTTTTAGATACCAAGGTTGAAAAAAATTACATTAGTCTGACATGGAATATTTCGTAAGTTTTGATAGCACTGGTGTTTGCATCAGAATATTTTTTAACTAATAATAAGGCCATTGTAAATAGAAGATTCAAATCCATATATGTAGGCTAGGCGTACCCTACCCAGTACAGGCCTCGCGTGTTACAAATTCTACTGTATCGATCATCCCGCACCGGACACCGAACATCGTGTATTCCCACCTTACTGCTTTTTCTTTTCAAGATAAGGGAGACAACAAAGGTCCTTTTGATGCATTAATTGATGACCCCTGCACAAATTGTTAGGGAATGTGAATCTTGGTTTTTATTTATATAGAAACAGTTAGATTTTAAAAGTAAACAGATACCAAATGAAGTGGATAGTTTTTTCACCAAAAAACAACTGGAAGAAATGTCGGACTATGAAAAGAATAGGTACAAAAACCTGAGAGAGAACTATGAGATGATGGTTCTGATGGGTAAGAACTTTTCGTTTCAAAATTATATGTTCAAAAAACAGTGTGTCGACATTTTTTTTGTATTTGAAAATATTACTAGTGATTTTGGTGAAAACTATTTGTTTCAAGATAATTTATTTAAACAAATAAAATCACAAATGTTTTTTTATACTCGATCATATTAAAAAAGCCATGAAGATCGTGCTTTAAAGAATTTCTTTTATAACACCACAAATCAGATTTTGATCGTGGAATTTCACACTAAATTGATACATCTTAAAAATTGAAGCATGGATGGATAATAAATAAAATTATATAAAAAATTGACATCGGTAGGTCTACCTGTGAAAAAGCCAGGTTTTATGACTGCTAAATGGAAGAGAAAAAAATCAGTAGAAGATTCAGAATCAGAAAAAGAGAGTGACGAAGAATGGACTCCAAATAAATCTTCTAAAAAGAAAGCTAAAAGTAAGTAGTATTATTGAGGAAGCGAGGAAGTAAATAATCCTATATTTTCAGGTCGTACGCTAGAATCGAATCAAATCAAAATATTTTGCACCATTTGAATATTTTTGAAGCACATCTAGACCTTAGCAACGAAACTTAAAGATGGGTTCCCTTATTTTCATTTTTGAAAATGAAAATGCTAATACTTTTATGAATAGAAAGTAGAGGTGTTATAATAACTTGGAAAAATACCAGTTTGTCTCACATGTCCATAATTAATTCATAATTAGCTATATTAGAAGAGAATTACCAGCAGAATTCCAATGAATTACCGATCAAGAAAGGTCAAAGTCTTTTTTTGTTTATCCAGACTGTATATACATAGACATTTATGATTGGTCAAAACTCTTAATTATATGCAATAAGAACATAATGATATGATTAAGAATACATGATAATTCATTAGAAACATTTCGATAAGTATTTATTTAGTGGTCAGAGAGCAAGGCATTGACACAGAGTCAAAATAGTTTTAATCATGTTCATATTTAAAAGAAACCATTCAGTTGGTATTGAAAGATAGCCTTCTTCTAGAATATTTATCATTCTCAACGTTTCAATACGCTTCTTGAACCAAATATTTATCAACTTGCAACGTTTCGATGTAGTTCTCGCACCATCACCGATTAATATTGTTGAATATGATATTTTTTTAATTAATATTTCGAACATGAAGAACATTCAGTTATTATATGAAATTAAAATTTCAGACTGTAAATTAGTGCCAAGGTTTCATGTTCCGTTTAAAACAACCTCTTCTACTGCTACTTCTACTGTACCAATAAAAACAGAAGTCAAGATGCCACGAAAACGCCGTATTATTTCATGCAATGTGAACATACCTACTGTAAGTTAGATTAATCCACATTAACCAGGGTTCTGGATTTATTTTTTGTCACCGGACATTCTTCCACGACTTGTGAAGTCTGATCTCATTTCCCCTTGAGAGAAGGTTTATTATCTTACCGGTATTAACAAAAGAGAGGTCGTTAACAGTTTCAAAGGCTTTATTTCAACCTTCTATCAGTTGTGAAAATAAGATGTTCAACTTGAAATTTTTGTTAGGAAATCTTATTGATGGAACCAAATAGGTTATACTCTAGTAGGTAAGATTGAATTAAGGATGGATACAGTCTTCTTAATCTAATTAATTATATTTGTTGTTAAGAGGTTTCCTGGCTCTTTTTTTATTTCCATTGCGGTCACATTTCTGCCAGTTCTTTGGTTCCTGCAGTTATAGAAATGCTTAACCGTATATAATGTCCAAACCTTTCTCCAAATATCGTAGTAGAGTTGGAAAAACCACAGACGTCTGATTGAAAATTTGAATGGTGCTAATTGAAACTGTAAGAGGAGTCCTCGATCATCGTGTCCAAAGCACACTCATACGCCCGTTTTCGGAATACGATGATCCCGATACACATACACACGAAACTATTGACAAACCCCTTTCCATTTCTGTCGTCAATTTTACAGGACTCGGGTAAAAAAGTGAAGAAAGATGTAAAGAGTAAACCTGAGCCACGATATCCATTGAGGAAAAGAGACACTTGTAATTATATGAATATTGAGGTTCCTGATGATGACGAATTTCTTTGTAAGTGCATTTTTTAGATGCTGGAAAAATGTTTTATTCTTCAAAAAGGATAAGTTGTCTAAATTTGTACTTTCGTCCACACATTCTTGCAGATTTCGGCTATCCATTTCACTTTTAAGAATGAAAACGAACGATTTCTAGAATTCAATAGAAGCATAAGTTTCTCTTTAGTGCGAGATATATTTCAATTGTGATAGCATTCTTTAATGACCTAATTGGAATAGCTAGATGTGGATAGTCATCGTACCGTTGCTAAAGGAACTTGCATATTGTCCTGCTATATTTCCATTCTTTATTTAAAGTGATACTACGTCTTAGAATAAACATAAAATTTTAAACTAGGCGATTAAGAGCCAGAAGATATACCTGGTGTCATAAATAACATAACAGGATCCTTATATAATCTGATAAATCTAAAAAACTTAGTAATTATCCATAAATATGTAATTAACTATTGAAAACCCTTAATATTATGATAAAGCGTTTTTCAATAATTACTTAGTTTTATGAATTTCCAATTTTCTCGATTTTACAGGGATTCTGTTATAACTTTATGACACCAGGAAAGTTCACTGATGAATATAGACTCATATTGACCATTCTTGTGAATTAAATTTTATGTTCATTCTAAGACGTAGTATCACTTTAATCATGGTATTTATTTGTAGATTGTGAAGAATGTAATATGGAGTATGGTGGAGATTGTCCAGTTCACGGATCGTATAATATCATAGAAAACAAACAGGTGATTTATTTAGATGATTTTAGATTTGTTAGAATTATTTCCCAATTTCGAAAGCTGCTTGATGAGGGGTATTACTTTTATTCACATGCGTCGACATTATGAGATGAACATAAAACAATTAAAACGGGATTAAACTATTTGGCAGAAGAAACCACTAACCACATCCGTATTTGTAAATAGAAATCTTTGAAAAATGCAAATTTATGCCGTATTTTGTATGATTTAAATCAAAATTAATAATTGGATTAGTTATAAATAAGACAAATAAGTAATAAGGGTTAACTTTATGATATATGAGAAAGTTTTGCTCTCAAAATGGGAATTTTGTTTAAAATTTTGGAATTAGTATTGTAGCCCTGTATATTTTGAAGATATATATATGCAGTCACTGTTTATAAACTTTTTCAATTATTAATTAATAGGTCGAGGAAAGTGTAAGTCAGAAAGATAAAAATAGATGCTACCTGACAGCACCGGATTGTATTGAAATTAAAGAATCAAGTATACCAAACGCTGGGCTCGGAACGTTTGCATCTATAACCATTCCAAATAGAAGTAGATTTGGTCCATACGGTGGAGATATCATAAAAGACACAGAAACGGCTCATAATTCTGGTTATTGTTGGCAGGTAATACACTGTCATTATCTTGTGAAGGATGAGTTCAACTTTCATGAAGTTTCCATTGGCGTATTTAGGGGCAAGGGGAGAAGTCATGGTGCGTTAAATGCATTCACCGCCTTCCTAAATATAACAATTTTTCAGGGGGAGGCAAAAAAGGTGCTCGGATGGTCCCCCGTCAATGAAATCCTGGCTACGCCACTGGAAGTTTAATCACTCAGTTGAAGAGTACTTTCTTCCATACTTACATTAAGGAGTGATTACTAGCTGCTGTGTGCTAAAATTGTGTCTAAAACAGGTTAAAGAAGCAGTATGTGCCACTGCGGTATATGTTTGAAATATTAATATTATATTCGAAATAAAGAGTTGGGAATAAAGCTAATTTGACTTTGAATGTTAAAAATATTGTAATTAACGACATTTGCATTACAAAGCCTCATAATTGTTTTTTCTTCAGATTTATCAAGAAGGCAAACATCACCATTTTGTGGATGCCAAGAATCCAGCAACATCAAATTGGATGAGATTTGTAAACTGTGCTAGAACTGAATCGGAACAGAATGTTACTGCCTATCAATATTGTGGTGAAATTTATTACAGAACTTTCAAAGAAATTCCACCAGGTTCTGAAATTTTAGTTTGGTATGTAACTTTTATTTGAAATACGTGCACGTGAGCGCCACCATTGGAAATGGAATAGCGAGGATAGAGCCAAGATGACGTGTGCAAGTACAACAGTTGAAATTTGACATCAGTTGTATCTATACATTGTGTTCAAATAAGTTAGTTGTCTGAAGAAACTCATAGTAACAACATGATTCAAATTCTGTTTTAATATTTCTAAATGAAAAATCATAGTTGAATTTGATCTGTGATTTTAAGATAACGGATTATAGTAGATTATCTTTATTTTAGCAGTAAAGAGTCCACATTATTTTGAATTCAAGATTTCAACTTATATTTTAATGATATTGTTGTAGGTATGGTAATGAATATGGCGCAGATTTAGGAATAAATCGACCTCTCTGGTCAAAATCAACATTTGTAGCCTATCATGAAAATATGAAAAAGGGAAATAAATTTTCAACGTTTCCATGGAGATTGAATGGTGCTAAACCAGCTATCGAAGGTAATTACAAAAATCAGCATACAAAATATTTCTTAAAAAATGACCCAAAATAAAATCAAAGTTTTAGGAAATACACAACTATGAGTGGTCAATACTTTTTAAGTGTATACAATCAGACTTAGTTAAACCCTTTGAAAATTAGCGAACACTCATTTATGCGATAACATTAGGTTTATAAGATTTCAGCTCCGATCTTAAGTCCCAAACAACCCCCTGCGGATTTCTAAAACAACCTTCTATTCTGATTGACAAAATAGGATAAAATTATTTTTAACTATTACTTACATTAATTCATTAATTTATCAAGCGAAATTTTTTTTTTGTATTTCAGATGTGTATCCATGTTCATTTTGTCAGATGTCATTAGCAGTGCCAAATTTACTGTTAAAACATTTATATTCGAGACATTATGATACCATCAACATTAAAAAACTTCGAACATTACTCAATGGAGATCTTAAATCAATTCATCATCTTTCAAAGATACAAAGTCAACAGGTTCTGGAGCTAATTCAAAATGACGATGATTTGGACTCGAAAATTTCATTAAATATCTGTAAAGAGAATATTTTACCCTTGCCCACAAAACACACTGGAGAAAAACCCTATAAATGTAATGTTTGTAGTTTTAGTTGTAATCAGGCTTGTAATCTACAGACTCACATGAGAACTCATACTGGAGAGAAACCCTATAAATGTGATGTTTGCAGTTATAGTTGTAAAGTGGCTGGTAGTCTACAGACTCACGTGAGAACTCATACTGGAGAGAAACCCTATAAATGTGATGTTTGTAGTTGTAGTAGTAATCAGGCTGGTCATCTACAGTACCAAATGAGAACCCATACTGGAGAAAAACCCTATAAATGTGATGTTTGTAGTTATAGTTGTAAAGTGGCTGGTAATCTACAGAGACACATGAGAACTCATACTGGAGAGAAACCCTATAAATGTGATGTTTGTAGTTTTAGTAGTAATCAGGCTTGTAATCTACAGACTCACATGAAAACTCATACTGGTGAGAAACCTTATAAATGTGATGTTTGTAGTTTTAGTAGTAATCAGGCTGGTCATCTACAGACTCACATGGGAACTCATACTGGAGAGAAACCTTATAAATGTGATGTTTGTAGTTATAGTTGTAAAGTGGCTGGTCATCTACAGAGACACATGAGAACTCATACTGGAGAAAAACCCTATAAATGTGATGTTTGTAGTTATAGTTGTAAAGTGGCTGGTAATCTACAGAGACACATGAGAACTCATACTGGAGAGAAACCCTATAAATGTGATGTTTGTAGTTATAGTTGTAAAGTGGCTTGTAATCTACAGACTCACATGAAAACTCATACTGGTGAGAAACCTTATAAATGTGATGTTTGTAGTTATAGTTGTAACGTGGCTGGTAGTCTACAGACTCACATGAGAACTCATACTGGAGAAAAACCTTATAAATGTGATGTTTGTAGTTATAGTTGTAATCAGGCTGGTCATCTACAGAGACACATGAGAACTCATACTGGAGAAAAACCCTATAAATGTGATGTTTGTAGTTATAGTTGTAAAGTGGCTGGTAGTCTACAGACTCACATGAGAACTCATACTGGAGAGAAACCTTATAAATGTGATGTTTGTAGTTATAGTTGTAACGTGGCTGGTAGTCTACAGACTCACATGAGAACTCATACTGGAGAAAAACCCTATAAATGTGATGTTTGTAGTTATAGTTGTAATCAGGCTGGTAATCTACAGACTCACATGAAAACTCATACTGGAGAGAAACCCTATAAATGTGATGTTTGTAGTTTTAGTTGTAATCAGGCTGGTAATCTACAGACTCACATGAGAACTCATACTGGAGAGAAACCTTATAAATGTGATGTTTGTAGTTTTAGTTGTAAAGTGGCTGGTATCTACAGACTCACATGAGAACTCATACTGGAGAGAAACCCTATAAATGTAATGTTTGTAGTTATAGTTGTAATCGGGCTGGTAGTCTACAGACTCACATGAGAACTCATACTGGAGAGAAACCCTATAAATGTGATGTTTGTAGTTATAGTTGTAATCGGGCTGGTAATCTACAGACTCACATGAGAACTCATACTGGAGAGAAACCTTATAAATGTGATGTTTGTAGTTTTAGTTGTAAAGTGGCTGGTCATCTACAGAGACACATGAGAACTCATACTGGAGAGAAACCTTATAAATGTGATGTTTGTAGTTATAGTTGTAATCAGGCTGGTAGTCTACAGACTCACATGAGAACTCATACTGGAGAGAAACCTTATAAATGTGATGTTTGTAGTTTTAGTTGTAATCAGGCTTGTAATCTACAGACTCACATGAGAACTCATACTGGAGAGAAACCTTATAAATGTGATGTTTGTAGTTTTAGTTGTAATCAGGCTGGTCATCTACAGAGACACATGAAAACTCATACTGGAGAGAAACCTTATAAATGTGATGTTTGTAGTTATAGTTGTAATCGGGCTGGTAGTCTACAGACTCACATGAGAACTCATACTGGAGAGAAACCCTATAAATGTGATGTTTGTAATGAAATGTTTATATCAAGTTCTCATAGAAACCAACATAGAAAGAAAAAACATGGTAGTTAAATATATTATCAACTTTTGCATGGTATCATTAAAATTCATCACAAGAAGACAACTATTTTAATGATTTTAGAAGAGAATGAAATAGATTTCAGTATGGATGAAGACGAGGTCAAAAAGTAAAAATTTCTTCACAGCTAAAATTGGTGTTTATTTTCGAATTCTATTTGTTATTGTGAGTTAAAAGAGACCCAACACTCGATGGTTTTGTTGATTTCCGAACAAAATATTTTTTAGAACTGGATAAATGTGACGACTTTGATTTTCTTATTTTAAATTTTCCATTAACATACCGCAATCAGCAGCTCATGGAGTGAACATTTCACAACTCATCCGCTCTGCTAGTTCCCTTTTTGAGGATTTCCTAGCTAGAGATCTAGTTTTAATTTTGTAAACTGTTGAAACGGGTTAAATGACTCACAAACTTAAAATTTTATGGTAGTTATGGAATACCCCTTGCTAAACACAAAAAATCTGCTTTGCCTGATTTGTTTCAGTCGGGCATAGATTGTAGTGGCGGGTGTCACGTGCTAGGCAGGCCATGTTTACACTTTTCGAAACACCTGATGGTACTTCTCTTTTGAGTCCACTACTATACAACTACTGCTTCCGGCTTTGTCTTATTTTGGGCGAGATTTTTGCTTACTGGAATTGTTTGCTTGTACGGATTTTATTAGTTTAAAATCATTTTAATGTTTTCTTCAGTATCGGATAGAGCTAAGTTTTAATGCAATTTGTATCACAAAAATTCTATCAAATTTTGACAAATTCATTTACTTGTCTAAACGTTTAGTTGATATAACTTTTTAAAAGGAAAGAAATGACATTAACTTAATTGGGTTGTATGCCCTATAGAATTACGATAAACAAATGCAATCAACTTTTGTTCAAAATGTATTTTATCATATAAGCAAGTCTTGAAAGGTCTTTTCCGGGCGAAATCACAATTTTCCGACAAAAAAAGCAATTAATTGGAGTTGTATGCCATTGTAGATGATTTGCAATATATGTAGCACAAATTCAATGCACTTTATCATGTTACCAATTGACTAAGCAATAAATGAAATAAACAAAGAACTGAAATGAACTATGAAATGTATTTTAACTAAGAAATGAGATGAAATAAACTAAGAAATGAGATGAAATAAACTATGAAATAAACTATGAAATAAACTATGAAATGAAATAAACTAAGAAATGAAATGAAATAAACTAAGAAATGAAATGAAATAAACTAAGAAATGAAAAAAAAACTATGAAATGAACTAAGAAATGAAATGAAATAAACTAAGAAATAAAATAAACTATGAAATGAAATAAACTAAGAAATGAAAAATAAACTATGAAATGAACTAAGAAATGAAATGAAATAAACTAAGAAATAAAATAAACTATGAAATGAAAATAAACTAAGAAATGAAATAAACTATGAAATGAAAATAAACTATGAAATAAAATAATCTATGAAATGAAATGAAATAAACTAAGAAATGAAATAAACTAAGAAATGAAATAAACTATGAAATGAAATAAACTAAGAAATGAAATAAACTAAGAAATGAAATAAACTATGAAATGAAAATAAACTAAGAAATGAAATAAACTAAGAAATGAAATAAACTATGAAATGAAAATAAACTATGAAATAAAATAATCTATGAAATGAAATGAAATAAACTAAGAAATGAAATAAACTAAGAAATGAAATAAACTATGAAATGAAATAAACTAAGAAATGAAATAAACTAAGAAATGAAATAAACTATGAAATGAAAATAAACTAAGAAATGAAATAAACTATGAAATGAAAATAAACTAAGAAATGAAATAAAATAAACTAAGAAATAAAATGTAATAGAGTTGTATGCCCTATTACATGTATGTAGATGGTATGTAATAAAATTTATGTTATACGTTCTATTAGAAGATGATAATATAATATAACACAAATCTAATTTATTAATATATATTTATACACTGTTTAATTTTAATTGTTATATTTTTGTTGTGTTGATTGGTTTAAATGTATTTATGAATAACCTGGATGGATATTTAGTTTAATTCCCTCACTTGTCAGTGGCTCAACTACCATAGGGATTGGTTGAACCATGTCCACGGTACCCCACACCCAGAAAAAAATACTAAATTAAAAAATGATATCTCTCAAGACAAAATCCGTTATATCATGTTTGGTAGAAACCATTAGGTTTGACTTCGTAGTCCTGTCGCGAACCTTTAAATCTGAAAAAAAGGAAAATGAATTAGTGGACGGATTGTCATTATGAGAAAAGAAAAAGAAAAGAAAACCGCAATTGATTGCAGCTTTTAGCACAATATATTACTAGTATACTTTCGTGACTCGAACAAAAGGTGCTTATCGGAATACACCTGCTGTTCGCGTCTCAAAATCCCAGCGTTATACCTACCTCTTATACATAACGACCACCATGACAACCAGTATTAGAAGCAGGAGACAAGAAATGGCGGCAAACGTTGAGGTAATGATTTCTAGTTTCTGTGTGGAGTCTCGAGGCTCAGCTGAAATTAAGAGAACCGAGTTTCAGAAAATGGAATTTTTTTTAGCTGAGCTAATCAGTAATAGTTTTCACAACTCACCATCGAAATTTGAGCATTCAAATCCATGTGTCCAGAATTATCCGCGTTTGAATGTTAAAATGACGACTCGTCAATTTCTAGTACTTCTGAAGACTATATACATTATATTCAAGACTAAAATCAACCCCCCCCCCCCCCCCCTCCCAAAAAAAATGGTGTCAAAGCCTTAACAAAGCCCCCCTCTGATCCAATGTCTTCTGAGAACGTATGCGAACCCTTCCTCAACCAACCCTAACAAGAGTTCAATTCTATAGAATGAAAATTATCTTTTACATAAATATGTCTGGTAAAGATTTGAAGATCTACAGACAAGGAATAAAAGTTCGTAAGGCAAAACAATTGCAGTAACCAAACATCTCTGTTCGGAGAGCCCGGAATTATTATTCTTCTCACAAAAGAGTCCACCTAAATTTCTACTCAACCCAAATTCTTTGGTTAAACTACTTACCAATGGGCACCACAGGTTCGTCACAGAATCGACCCGTGTAGCCTTCAGAACAACTACACTGTAGCCCAGTTTTAGTTGATCGACATTCTCCATTCGAGCAGTAGTTGGGTTCTAAATCACATAGAGCTGAAAAACACAATCCTTTCATGTAAGATTTGAACGACATTTACACATCCGGACTCAATAAGACTCGTTTAATCTACGTATTCATAAAAGGTCCGACTTAAAAGCACAAACAAGCCCAAACTGTAATCTAGTCTTTATGAAGCACATAGTGGGCATCTGAAATAGCTTCCGCGACCTGTAATAACGATCGCTATTATGTAAAATTCATCTTACCATTGGACTCATCAACATAACGGTAGGTTGCACAATCGGTCCAAGGGTTCTCGCTTTATTTTTAACGAACTTAAAAATATGATGTTTAAACGTTTTTGCTCAAAACTATTGCACCAAATCAATTCAATTATTCAAAAATTCGGACAACCGATCAATTCCGTTACTGCAACTAAACACCACACACCATTGGCCCACCGGATATACTACTTGCTCCTCAATCAAGTCTGTCTACAGGCTGTGACACAGAGGGATTTCACTACGATGTCTGAACATGTCGTAGCATACACAATCGTAGGGAAAAGGGCCTGCATAACAACAAATTCCAGAGTCCTTACTTACATATACAATCGTTTAAGTTTGTTGAGCGTTCAGACCTTGTTATCAACCCGTCTGGGCAACTGAGACAGGAAGTAGACTTGTGTCGTGGTTGATAGGTATTTTTAGGACAGTGTGAACACCCTTTTCGGTTGATATGACCATACGTACCAGGTCTGCATTCATCTGAAAGTCAAATTAATTCAAATTAGACGTATATGTAGACCTACTAGACAGTTTGACCTCAAGACAAAACGTTTTTTGAAAACTATTTTTTTAAGCAGTCTACTGAACTAAAAACATTTAATATCAGATGAAATTACCCCGGGAGCTCTCGAGTGATTTGCGCATAGCATCAATTATAGGATATTTCCCCTTTCCACAGGACGTGCCCGGGAAATCATCAGCTGGTAGCTGCCATACCATCAATCCACCATATTGGTTATCTTTTACAAAGTCCGCCTGAAATGATACGTATAAGATATATATAGGTTTATATCCTTGCAATGATGTAGGTTTATTACACATCTTAAGCAAAGAGCTATACCGAAACAGCTGTCTCTTTTCCAGCCTCTGATAGGCTATAGCTATTTGGACAGATGCCTGCTACACCAGCTTGTGGTTTGTGTTTGTGGTTTGGAACTTTTACTTAAGCAGCAACATTACAGCCTATTCTTTAATAAATTCCTACTGCCCCAGTACCAAAATACACAGGACTGGAATTCAAACAGGCATAATTTGTTAGAAAGATTATTTTTAAAAACAAAGCAGATGGGGGCGAAATGGCAAGACACCTGACTGGTTACAAACCTTTGCTTGCACACTTCTCTCGTTATCATATCCCGACCATTCTGTATCTGTGAAGGCGAACGGTACACTTTGTTCATCATCCCAGCCTTCTGTCCATGTACCGTCTTGTAACTTTGTACAAATCTGAATCAAATAGAGTCAAGCTCTAGTCATAACTCTAGTCATCTTCACTCACCATGGTCAAGGTATAACGTCTTCATCTTATACTTATCTTATACCTTGTCCATTGTGAAGATGAAACTTATGATGATCCATACCCAGTGGCGTGTCTACGTGGGGCCCCCGGAAAAGAGACTGACCCGACATTTTATCATTTTACACAGTGAAAGATCAATCTACTTCGTAGTAACTACGGCTAGTCAAGTACTGGGGCCCCGTCTCCGGAATCGTATTCCCTAGTACCATAGTTAATTCAATGTGGCCGCTATGAGCTACCATAGAAAAACATACCTCATAATATATTGACAATGAAACCTTTGTTAAAGCTACTTTACAGTATATATGATAGTAAATGTAATATGACCGCTATGAGCTACCATAGATCAACATACCTCATAATACCTTACAACGGACACTTTACTGAAGGCTACTCCAGCACTGACGTCCCAGTCCCCGGGCTCGTTTACCGTAGTATTCATGGTGAAAGTACGAGAATAAGTTGGTAGACCGAGTATCAGTTTCGCTTTTTCCACTTCTTCTGCCCAATATCCCATACCCCATTCCTAAAATTAAAAAAAAAAGGTCATCATTCCTGAGTTGTCAGTCCGAGGGGAGGCCTTGAGACTGCGGAGTGCCAGAGGCCCCCTAGAATTCGATGGATTACAGAGGGCCTGAGAGGAATTTTGAGCTTTTGGAGGACTTAATTTTCAATTTGAAATAAGAATTTTTACAGGCCTGAGGGGAAGACCTAAATAGGCCACTGGACACCAATGATATATACATAATCATAAAACGAGTTTATAAGCTTTGCAGCAATTTCCGCCATCACAAGTAGATTTCGGTTATTGTTTTAGGGGTCGAATTTTATTTTTATGTATCCGGTTATAACGGAAAAGATAACACAGGGAGATAACTTACAGCATTGAGTTGTAGATCTTCACCAGTAGCGCCTGCTCTCGGATATAAACCAGCATGGTGACCCACATTATCAGAGAATATTGTGTATAAATCATAAACCATAATATTTAAAAAATCTACAGCTCTGTGGATAAAAAAATTGTTTTCTGTGAAATTTGCGCCCAACAGTGGCGTTTGCAGGAAACATTAGATGACCGGTCGAGCAGGGGACACAAAATGTTCCAGGGGGTTGAGGTACTGGACATTCTTTCCCTACGTGAAATTATAAAAAAACATTTGAAAGTGGGGAAGTCGGGGCATATGGACCCCCTGTACAAAAGCCGCTGGGCTGAGCATTTCATTGGTTGAATATTTAATGAACCAAAACAGGAGACGCATACAGGTTTCATCAGAGTTGAGTTGACGAGTTGAGTCAACCGCAGAAATAAAAAGAACGAAAGGAAACGCTCAGATTCGCATTATAATCAAATTGGGCTGATCAATTATAATAGGCTATACATACTCTCCCAGTCTCTTTCTATCAAATCCAGAATCCACGATGGACTTGCCAATCGGGACTGCTGAAGACAAGAGTAGACGTGGGTTACCAGTCTCTTCGGCTTCTGCTTCAAAAGTTTCTCGCATTCTCTGAAATCAGAATTAAATGACAACATGACAAGAAGATGTTACATACCCTACCTTTAAAGATAAGACAAAAAGTTGGCAGAATTATTCTAGTTTTTTTGTGCACTTCTTTTAGCCGATGTATAAGCCCAAGCCACACCTCCCCACGCCCCACCCTCAACTTTAACTGCAGATCACTTAAACTCACCTCCAATAGAGTAGCATAGTTATGTTTATCTTCCGGTGGACTTCCTCGATTACCGGGATATTCCCAGTCCATATCTACCCCATCAAATTTCCATTTTCTCAAATATTTTACAGCATTCTCACAGAATTCTTCCATACTCTCGTCAGTTTTGACAAGTTCTGTAAAAGCTGGTAAAGCTGAAAATGTCCAACCGCCGATGGCCAGAATGACCTTAATGTCAGGGTTGATCTTCTTCTTGTCCGTCAAGGTCTCATATCCCGCTGAAAATAATATACAGAAAATATAAATATTGTTCATATGTTGAAGGGATAGAGTAGGAAATTTCGCTCACTGCACAATGCATAGCGTTACCCGTCTTCAAATCCCCAAACTGGAGCAGATAAATTTATAAGCCACACAACTGATAATGTTAAATTTCAGCTAATGCAGAAAGCACATATTTAAATGAATATATCCCTTTAACAAACAGAGCTGGACTTGCAAACAGTTCTAAACATGGTTTCTCACTTACTTTTCTCGTCGACTTCGTCAAGAGGTACAATAGTTTTAGTTTTTGGGTCGACTCCAGCGAATGAATAGATATAGTGAGTACAGAGATCTAGATCTGGAATACTATCAGCGGTAAATTTATAGATTCCTGTTTTATAGATTTCCCAGCTTCCATAGTAACATACTCGCTTATAATCTGTTATTTCATCTGAAATAGAAGAACAATACATATCTATTACTTTGTTCAGATGAAACATATATAGGAAAACTTGAGTTCAAGCAAGCATGACTGTCAGATGCCAGAACACAATAAAAGGCTTCGAATAAAACAAAATGTAATGAAATTGTGATCCTTGCTCAAATAAACATTATACTGTACTAGCTACAAAAATTGCTCGGCTAACATTAGCTGATTAGGAGTGGTCGAAACCAATCTCCATCAAGTATTAAAAAAGGTTAGGGATATCTAGAGATTGAAAAGCAGAATATACCTGGTTCTTTTTCACAGCGCTTTCCTTCAAAACCTTTTGGACATATACACTTGATCGTAGTATCGTTATAAATACACTCTCCGCCATTTCTACAATAGCTAGGATTCAATAAACAGCGAGCTGAAATAGATAACAGGTACGCAGTGAAAATTGAAAATATGATTTTTATACGTTTTGCACCAACCAAAATATATGTCAGGATGCACCAAATAAATTCAGTTTTTTTTTTAGGCAGAACCCTCTCAGGCGCACTATGAGATGCTTACAGAGTTGCTGCATTTTGAATTCGACAGTTAATAATTGGAACGTGAAAAGTGGGGAATATGCGGTAGGCCTTCTCTTCAAGCATTATAGGAAATAAAAGGTCTGGCTTCAGTAGAATGTATACTTACAAACACAATGTTCCAAGCTATCAGAACCTCTCTGTCTAGTTGTAAGAATACCTAAAAAAAACCACATAACTTCTAACAAAAACTAGCATTATTTCTTTTTTCAAGTAAGGTAGGCTGAAAATGTCGAAACAACATTATGGGTCAAGTCCTTATTCGAAATTGTTCAGACCCATATCTTCTACACCAGAGGCTGGACCAAGGTAACAGAACTTAGAGCTATATGGGTGATCATAACGACGGAGTAGTCCGACAAACCAGACCCTATGAGTCCCATAGACGTGATATACAGATAGGGTATCTGCACGTTTAGTTATGCCAAATCTTCTATCCATGTGGTGAAAATTCTCAAAATCCAAACATGGGTCGGAGCAACTTCAACAAACATTGGCGTTTTATGCCTGTCCCTAAACGTACCGATATCCCACCTGTATATCTGCTTACGTAGTTACGTCAGAGTAGAACAGTAGTTCAACTCACCTGGACAAGGTTTGTCGGGCTAGAATTAAAACTCACCTGGACACGGTCTATAGGACTAAAATTAAACTCACCTGGACAAGGTTTGCAGGTATCTGAAGCCATCTCATCTTGATAAGTTCCATACCCACATTCTGCACACTCTACAGTTTTAGTGTCAAAGTAGTCCCCTTTCAC